ATTATCTGATCCCAGCAGCTAACTTGGTTCCCTTTCAACTAGCCAAACTCCTTTGAACTGTACATCGTAGGAAAATGAGATCGCTATAGGAGATAAAACTTTATATTGTTGAAATGGTCTGTTGCCCCTTCTAGTTACTGCCCCTATAACTTAACAGAACGAACAGTGAAACAAGCATTTTAGATGAATTCTAGCCAGACTTCACTTAGATCTGTTTCAGACCAAAATTTTAAATGAACAAGAATGAAAGAAGGACCTCATCCATGGTTTTGAATTTCAAAATCTGTTGAACAGGACCAAAAATTTCTTCTCGAGCTATGCGCATGTCATCGGTGACATCTGCGAAAACCGTCGGTTCGACGAAATAACCTTTGTCACCCACTCTGCGTCCGCCGCACATCAAGCGTGCCCCCTCTTTCTTGCCACTTTCGATTAAGTTCAATATCTTCTTGAACTGTTCGTTGTCGACCTGAAAACGAGATTTGTAAGACATATAATCGATAGAGTGGCGAAGGAATGAACAGTACTTGAGGCCCATTGTCGATGTTGTCGTCAAACGGACAGCCAACGACTTTTTTCTTCGCTCTTTCAACGGCCTTCGCAACGAACTGGTCATAGATCTCCTCCTGAACAAAGCAGCGAGAGGCAGCAGTGCAACACTGGCCCATGTTGTAGAACAGCCCAAAATCTGACATCGCTACCGCATAATCCACTGAAACATAAGACATTCTAGAATCGCATACTGAAACCGATATGAATCAGTTTTTGGTAGTGCTGCGTTAAGGACCAAAAGGCAGCAAATTTAAATGTCATGTATTACATGTACCTCAGTGAGTGAACCGTCAAAGTAAAACTGTTTTGAACATTACCGCTCAGCAAAGGAATACCGTATGTGCCTAGCGTCATCTACTCTCTAACAGAAGAATATGCCAAATCTGATTCATTCGAGTCCTGAAAAGCTCACAGATAGAATCTGTCCATGAATTAATAGCAGCCCTTTTGTTATTTAATAAATGCAGATATCAAAAAATCGAAACCCTATAAACAAAATTTCTGCTGTTCAATGACAATAACGGATATCCCCAGACCTACCACCAGGGCAAGAATATCGCATCTGAGTCAAGCGTTGTTATGCCCATGAATCGCCATTCTCTATTCAGAAGAAAGACAGCATGAAGCCGACTCTCGGTCATGAAAGTAGCTTATGCTTTCTTCTCATTTCAAATTGAACGACATCCGAATCGATTTATCTAATTCTTTGAAGAAATTTGCATTTGCATGTAATTATTAACAACGATTATTGTGAACTGTGTGACACACCGCTAGTTCTGAACAGACCTCTAAAAAAAGCTAGATATGAAACATCAATGAAAGGGCACAAGGACCCAAATAGTTCCAGGTACGTGCATAAATGATTATAAGGAACAGAAACATTGCAGCCTTGCAAATGCGGATACAGTGACATATTTAATCTCATTCAGAAGTAACAGCAAAAAATATCTAGAGCACTAAACAAGCGGAATAAAATTTATGACAAGTTAATTCACTCTGTCCACTGCGATGCAAAAACAGCTAAAGAATCAACCACAAAATTACCATATTATTTAGCAGCAAGCTGTCAATTTTTTGATTTAAAAGTTTGTACAGAGATCAGTTGGCACATCAAACACATAATCCACTCTTTGCTCTTTTCAATAAAAAATCACCGACTGGATAACTGTGCAACATTTTTATTAAAAAATTTTAAAAAATTGCGGTTTTCACCGCAAAAGTAATAGCAACATGTAAAAATGGAGGGATGTTTGGCTAACAAAATACAGTCATTAATTCAGACATGTGGCTGCTTCTTGAGTCTGTTCAAAAACTGGAACGTGCCAAAGAGAAAAAAGAGGGACTGGTCAAATTATCACGTGCAAACATTTCCAGATGAACTAAATACCTATCGAGCAGCATTACCGCGTGGATTATAACAGAACAAATGAATAGACGAGGTAATACCAAATCTCAATTCCAGTCCTTAATAATGGGACGGCAAGAACAGAAACCAAACAGACAGAAGGGCCAAAATAAGAAACAAACAAGAACGACTAAATATGCTTACGGTCAGCATCCGCAAACACCACATTGGGACTCTTTCCTCCAAGTTCTAGAGTTACTTTCTTCAAGTTAGAATCGCCAGATCCTTTCATGATCAGCTTGCCCACTTCCGTGCTTCCGGTGAACGATATTAGATCCACATGCGGATGTCTGGTCAGTGCCGCTCCTGCAGTGGCCCCAAAGCCTGGAACAATGTTGACGACACCCGGTGGAAATCCAGCCTCAATAAAATTTTTTATATCAATACCTATAAAAGATTAAAACAAATGACCCATGTTATAAAATATACAATTGTAGCAACCCGGTGAGCAATTCTGCTGCAGTGATCGTAAACAACGTCAGTCGCTTGAACGTGATTGGTCTGCACCTTATGGACGAATTTTGTCGTGGAGCTGTATCGTTTCACCTGCTTGTATTCATAATGAAAAATAAAGTTCTATGATCGGGCAACGATCCATCACATCCTCGAACGCAAACAAATCACGGCAACAGATCCGCTCGGCGGGCTGCTTTACAATATTTGTTACTATCAAAATAATGATTAGCTCGAAAAACAGAAGATAGATCAAATAGCAACCGTGAATACACCTTAGAAAATCTCGAGACAAATCTCAAAAATCACTGCAAAGGATCAACTTTCTCAGCGAACACTTTGTTATGCTATGCGTTTTTCCACTTTGGGAAATTCTCAATCACTGAGAAGAAAATTTCTGGAATGACTGTTTTATGCCATACCCTATGTAAATAAATTATAATTTTTAA